ATCCAGCCTGTCCAGGTCCCTCTGTAGGGCCTTCCTATTCTCCAGCAGATCGACACTTCCATCCAACTTGGTGTCATCTGCAAACTTACTGAGGGTGCACTCGATCCCCTCATCCAGATCATCAATGAAGATATTGAACAGGACCGGCCCCAACACTGAGCCCTGAGGAACACAGCCCTGAAGGCACAGCACTGGCCCTTTTTTGATCATCTTAAGAGCAGAGGCCTAACAAACTTTTGGTGGAATGAAAGCTGGGATTTCATTTGTGGGGGAAATTGTAGGGATTCTTCTTGTGCATGTCTAACAGATCTATTTTCACATCTGAGCAATTGAAGGGAAAAAAAAAAGAAAAAACCCTGAAAGTAAAAAATCTCCATTCCACGTTGAAGAAAATCTCTCACCTCCTTACACAGCAATTGATGAATATTCTTCAAATGCTAAAATGAAAATGGTCTTCAGGCTCAGCCATTAGTTAAGGGTACACTTGGGAGTAAATTTCTAATTTATAAAGGTCTTCCTCCTAGATTCTCACTTAAAGAGAAGCAACCAGGCCCAACAGTTTACAAAGCATGCTCCTAAATGTACACGGAAGAGTACTGGTATCTTCCTTTTAAAATGGAAAACAATAATAATACAAAACAAAAATAAGAAGATGATATTAAGAGGGAATCTTTCTTGGGAAACCTGACATGCCAATTACAATGGACTGTGAAAAATTTTTGGTTATTTTTACTGATCAGGATTGAAATATATGATCTTGTTTGGATTGTGAACACAAGGCATTTCAAAACATGGGTTAAACTCTGCCTCTGGATCAGCAAAGGTAGTCCTCTATTAGTACAGTACATACTAAACAGCTTCTTCTCTCCCTGTCATGCCTTTTCATTTTCCTCCCACTATCTGAAGCCTTTTACAGCAGTTCTCAAACTTGAACCCACATATGCTGAGAGGATGGACTGCTAGCAAGTTTTTGGGAATAGCAGATTTGGCCAGGAGTCCACAACATGGCCCAGGGAAGATAGGGACGTGTGTCTCAGACACATGTCCACAACTATATCCTGAGATAGGGTGGGGCAGGTATGCAAGGAAGGGATAGGAATCGGAGCATTTAGAGAGAACAAAGGAAAAAATAAGTTGGAGAACCACTGGTCTAAAACTGTAGTCTGTTGTGTATTTTCCAGTTGCCCATACCTCTTCAGATCGCTGACAAACTCCAGCTTGTGACAGTGTGTTGCCAAGATCGGTCAAGTGAGGCTGTAAGATTTCTTTTGGGCTACCTCGAATCACTGCAGTTAGAACCATTATACAAGATGGCTTAGGTGTCTTTCGAAAGGCTGATGTGATTAATCTCAACGACACCTTAGGGCTGACAAATGTTCCAATCAATTCTGCTGCTTTCACACACTGAAAAAAAAGACCAGGAATAACTTGAGAATTTTCCTGAAAACACAAAGACCATTCAACATATCATGGGCTTTTTCTTTTTATGATTCCAGCTGTTATTTTAAATGCTTCAGCAGTTGCCTTGCCTTGTAGGCCTCTGCCACTCGCTCAATAATGATTATATGCATGAAGAAATTTTCTTGACGTGTTCAGTAAGCACATAATAAGGCATGCAAGCATTCTTCTCAGCATCAGACAAACTTCATTTCTGTGCATTACTTTCTCATGGAAGTGTACAACTTCCAGTGTAATAAAGTCTCTAGCTTAGAATAGCCAGATGTTGCAGATTTAGTGGTTTAGCATTTTGTCCTCCAAATGCTGTGCTGAGGAATGCTCCCAATGCACCCATCACCCATCTATTAAAAGCAACAACAATAAAACCCTAGAATTGTTTTTGTTATTGTACTATATTTGGACACTGACATTACAGATCTGGTTTAGTGTGGAAGCACTGCCATGGGGGAACTACCCACTGCTTTCAATTTCTTTCTTCTTTGACTGAAAAGGCTTAAATTACTATGTATTCCACATGATACTCATGTTCTTTGATCCTGTCTCTGCCTTGCAGACATATCGGTATGTTGTATTCCACATGAAATACCATCACACCAGAGCTTACTCTCTGACTGATGCCCAATATTTACTATTAGGTGCATGAATAAAGACACAGTCAACTACTGCACCATTACCTGTGCAACAGGAACGCTTCTTGCTAACCTATTTATTTAATGGTTGGCTCATCTCCCAAAACATGAAAGCTTATTTCCCCTTTTATATAATTTTTAGTCTAGTGATTTAGCCATGGATTTTTAATTGCACCTAATTAATACTTGAATGATCCTAGTTTTTTAGTCTCAATGGAAGCATGTTGCCATTAATTCTGTAGTTTAAATCTGCACTATATAAAACTGTTGCTTTTCACAAGGGTGAAGACTCAAAACAGTTATACTCTATGAAGATGTGAACCCTGTCCTCCTCCATATTTGCCATAGAGAAAGAAAAAGATTCTTAGTGTTCTGAAAACTGGAAAAGGACAATAGAATTAAACAGCTCAAAAATACTAATTGATGCATTTGTATGGATAAATTTATCTACTTATTTTAACAGGGGGGAAAAAAAAAAAAAAAGAGACCATTTGGTCTTTTACTCTTATCATCTCATTTGGTATTATTAGGCTGGAGAAAGCCACACACATTTTCCAAGTTGGTGGATGCTCTGAAATGGGTTCGGCAGTGACACATGACAGAGGAGATAATCACAGTATCCTGGGAAGCAGCATCGCTAAAGAGATAAAAGGCATTCACAAAGAAAAGTTGCTGAAGCTTAAATTTTGGCACAAGGAAGAGTAAAATTAAATACAGAAACCACCTCCTAATTGGGAATAAGTCTCTTGCAAGCACCTGCGAGAAGATTACTGGTGGAATTCTAAGAAAGAGACAAGTATGGTCAAAAAAAAAGGAAAGGGAAAACTATGTGGTGCTTGAACACATCCTTTTGAATTTATACTTACAGCAACAAGCACTAGATGGGAAAGTTGACCAGGATAGCAGGACCATGTGGGTTTATTCTTCTAATTATTTAAGTTTTCTTATATATTTTATACAAGCACTAAGGAACTTGCAAAGCTGCATACCCACAGTGGCAGATCTCCTACTTCAATCCTGGGACATTGATTTCCTAAGGCCTCTATACCCCTTTTTGAAACAACAAGATGACTTCTGACAGTATTCCAGGTTTACTTCTCTCTACTATCAATCAGTGCGTGACTGGCTTATCTTACAAGCTCAGTCTCACTGAAAGGCAACGTGGTTAGAGATCAGATGCTGGTTCTGAAAGGGGAGGTAGAAGGGGTGAAATAGGTAGAAGGGGATAACAGAATAAGAATTGGGGGAAGGGGAGGAACAACTCAGGAAAAATTAAAGGAGACAGACAACAATTAGTACTGAGAAAGACTGAAGACAACAAGAAACTGCAGGGGAAACAAAAAAGAAGAAAAAGGATCATTTCAGAAATGGATTTCACAGTCTATATAGATCAACAGATAGCAGGAACCTAAAGAAAAGCCTGATTTAGGAAATCAGCTTTTCTGACATTGGTTGGACTACTTGTGTTGAGTAAGCAGAACACATTCTTCCAGTTTCCCAAAGCAATAACATTTGCAGCTTTAAAGTAAGTTACATGGATTTTTTTTGTTATACATATGTTCTCTTGCTTGTACAGAAATATGAACAGAAGATTTTCTCTTAAAATTGTACAAATGTTTGTATCACCTTTCTATCCTCTGCTAAATTTATCTAATGTCTTCAACTATATGTGTTTATTGATACTGTTGATCAAACTCTTGACAGCATCAACTGTTAGGAAAGAGGACACTAGTTATTCCTCACAAAAACCATGGGAAAAAAAAAAAACAAAAAACAAAGGCATTTTACAAGCATTAAGTCAAGTAATCAAACACTGAATATGGGTATCACATGGAATAAACATACCTCAATGTTTGGTTGGAATTACGGTTGGATTATGCAGCAGGGGGAGATAAGTGAAATTAACTTGAAAGGGCATGACCTGCACATTTTTTTAAATGGAATTTGTTACCCCAAGGCTTTTATACTATAATCCGCTGCTTATGATTTTTAAAGAGATCATTATCAATGCTTCATGGGGTTGGCATATCAACTAAAGAGTATTTAAATAACTTTTTTATTGGTCTTCATACCAGTAATACAAAACTACATTTATTTTAACACAGTATGTATGTATAATGTTCACATGTTTTTAACATCCATGAAAACCTGAGCCTGATCCTTCAGTCATGGGCAATTTCCAGTGACCTAAGGTAAGGTCAACCCTCAGAAGACTGACTCAAGGCTATAGAGGATAGGGTGTACAGCAGCATACAGCAGATACTTTAACAGAGTAAACTTACATTTTTAACCACATCACTTTCTTCATCCAAGCATGCTTGGTACAAAGTTCTAAGCAGTAGCTCCATGTGTTGTGTTATGTGATCCTCTGCATGTAGCAATAATGTATACAGAAGCTGGGATGCTTTTATTCTTGTGCTTTCAACCCAGTCCGTTATATCATGACAGAGACCTGGAAGGATTTTGGAGAGGTTTCTTGACACAAGTTCCCGACAACCTAGTCCTGGTCGAGTCACTAGAAGAAAACAAACAAACAAACAACAAAACAAAAAAAAGGAAAAAGAAAAATCAAAGGAAAAGTCAATGCACATTAATCCTTAGAAAAGTTTAAAGGCTCTGAGATAAAAGCTATGGGTGTCTGCTTCGGCAAGGAACAAAATATTCCAAATGCTGCTGAGGAATTTACCTGTGCAAGCTGCATTTCTTTAATATATATCTCACAGAATTTAAACTCCACACAGCTTTCTGAAAACTTATGTATTTATTACTGGATGGCGATTTAGATTACGTGTTTTAAAATGTTTACAGAAGGGCAAGAGAAAGAGAACTTAAATGAACATTATCCACTTTGGAAAGCACAGTTTAATAATTTCCTTTTAATTTTTATAGCAACACAAATCCCATTAAAAAAATAAACTGAAACACAGAGAGATAAAACAGAAAAAAAAAAAAAAAGACAGACTTCTGCATGCAAACATTGTGGCATCACCGAGTTAAATGTAATTTGGAGAGGGAAAGAAAGATAGAAGTCACAAATAGTGCAGGGGACATGAACTGCAGTAAAACAGACAATGTCAACTGTGCCCTCTAAAGGAAAAAGTTAAAAGTGTATCTAGCAAATTAAAAGTAGAAAGGGTACTATGACTTGTACAAGTGCTGTGTAATAGATCAAGCCAACAAAACTGATATTATTTCAAAAATTACAACTATTATACAATTTCTTTGCTAAGGCCTTTTCAGGAAAAGTGGCTTACTCTGATACAGCTCTTAAATCTCTGTCCGATTTTTATATTAAATAACATATTTCAAAATGAAGTGAAAGATTATACAGGAGTTGGGGGAATCTTCCTCCCCCCCGACTAAATTTCATTTGTAGAGATTTTGTGGAAAGTGGGGTTTTGTTGTTGTTATTTTTTGTTTTTAAACCAAACCCAAAGTGTTACAAATACATATTCCCTACCTCAATAGAGGACGCAGATTCCTAGAGAACTAATAAACTTAACTTCCCCAACAAATGCTTACCGTCCTGTCTGGTAATCATCAAATTTACATCTTAGCTCATTTATATATCACTGAGACTCAGAGAAGCAACTTGACCCATATCACAAGCAACTATCAAGCCTCCACTTCTGTACTTTACGTAAAGTTAAGATAGTGCTTTTCAAAGAACTGCAATAAACTTTTATAGTGACTTTTTCTACAGGAGAATTTTTTTCCTTTACACTGTACATGCTTATACAGACAAAATCTGAAAAGTTGTTCTCTAAGAACCACCAATTTGTTATTGCCACTCACAACATTCACATACTGTTTTAAGAAAGAAACATTATTCATTATGAGGTGTCAAAAAACATTGAATGTGCAAGTACATTTTTTATTTCTGGTACAGAGTTCTGTGAATGCTTAGAAAGGAAATGACTGAGTTGTCTCAGCACATTTTCCTGCATTGGTCAGTGTAACTACAAATGCTAAAAGGAAAACAGACTGAAGTAAGTGGCCTGATGAATACAAAAGGCTTATAGAAATGCCTACGAAATACCTAGAGTAGGGGGGAAAAAAAATTCAAGCATGAGGACATGCATTGCTGCTTCTTTTGTCAATGGAGGATAACATTTTGGATTATGAAAACTGACAATGAATAGCAAAAGGTCAAACAAAGAAATCAACTTGAGACAGCAAATACAGACTGGCATCCTATTCGACCCGAGGCAGAATTTTCTTTAAAGAATTTGGACCATTCTTTATCAGCAGTTCCTTCATTTCAGATGTTCAAATGCAGGCATTTATCCCTGTAGCTACTCCTGTCAAAGACTTCCCTGCTGTAAACTGTCTGCACCTGTGTCCTAAGGCAATGACTGGTGTTGCTCAACGGAAAGCTATTCAGTTGGTCGGATGACACCAGGTATGAGGTCTAACTCTACTCTTCCTCTGACCAGCAATATCTGTCATCCTGAGATCAAAGCACAGGGGGGCTCATATGTCAGGTTCATTAGCTTGACGGTTAGACTAAGATAGTTATGTAAAATGTACTATAAACTCACAGTTATAAAAAAGATATTCCAGGACGTTGAATAAGTTGGAAGCAAGAGCAACAAAGTCTTAAAATAAATCATTATCATAGTATAAAAAAAACCACAAACGTGTGTGGAGGGGAAACATGGGGGAAGGACAGACATAACAACTCATGCATATACAGTCTGTGGTAAGACACCACAAATTATTACTAGTATACCTTAGTTTCAAGTGTTTTTGACAAAGTTTTCTATCTCTAAGATTAAGTAATCTTAATTAAGACGATCACCCTTTCCTCTCATTTTTCTTCTCTTTTGTCACATAAAGCCTGACTGTTAATAGGACATAAAATTTGGAGTAAAGATAAGCAGCAGGAAATGATATCTGAAAGTCACCATTAACTTGGGACTCCGGCGTGTACGTATGTCACATTCAAGCCTTAACTGCATATCAAGCAAGATGCATGAAAAGTCAATTAAATGCCGGGCTGGAATGTTGCCCAAATCTGTGAAGCATATTTATTATGCTAAGAAGATTATTTCAGAAAATTCATATCATTTAATTTATGACGTAGATGTCCTCTTCTAAAAAAAAAAAAAAAAACAGTCCACGCACACGAAACCCAACACACACCTACAGAAAACTGAACAAGGTAACAGTATTAGCAATATAAACGATAACAACCATTTCAAGGACTAGCACATAAAGCCTTTGATGACCTTCACTATATCATGGTCATTACAAAATAAGTACTGAAGCTTAGATACTCAGCTTTGACAGTTTATATACATTTAAAAATTCTCGAATGCCAAAAAAAATATGTTTCTGCCATCACTAGTGAAAGTAAAAGCATTCTTTACTATTTACAAACCCCTAAGGTAATATTACACATGAAATAAGGGGAAAAAAAAAAAAAGAATTGGAAGGGATAACAGATCAACTTGACTGTATTCAAAGCTAAACAGTTCTGTCAAACTAGTCACCATTATGAAGTGCTTCCCCTTTCATTCAAGCATTACTGAGTAAAGCAACTTTAAAAGGAAAAAAAAAAAAAAAAAAGTCTTATTTCAAAGGAGAAAGGACTCCGGAACCCACTGTCATGGAAAGGATTTTGCTGCTGGGTATTCTGTGATGTGACTGTCAGGTAGGCACAAGTCAAGCATGAACCTGTTCTTTCACACCAAAAGAGTTTTTGTTCTGTTAAATATGGGTATAGAAATCAATAAATGACCCATTTAACCCCTCTCTCTCACCAACACCCATGTGTATATTTTTAAACATTAACTTTATGAACCTGAGACAGGAAACAAGCTTCAAACTACTGCAAACGTATCGTTTTAAAGCTACCTATAAATCATACAGTACTAAAAAGTAATCTACCTGTGCTGCATATCTTGGTTTTTTGTATATAATAAAGAACATTATTGTTTCTGTTCCCATGTTCTTCATGTACACTGGTAGATTTTAGTTAGCATCCCAGTGTCTCACAAAGAAGTCTGAAGCCATTTCACTGCAAATTTTTCTTCCACACCAATTCTGTGGATCATTAATGCTGTATCTAGTTCTCATTATTCAAGGACTCAGCTCACAGGTTCTTTCATCCTGCCTTCCTTTCTGGTCATCTCTATGCCCATTCTTCACCTGGCTGCTGGCTAATGTAGAACTTTCTGCTGCTTCTGCATCACTGCTTTATCGCTTTTTCAGCATAAGCATTTTCATTTACTCTTTCTCCAAAATGCATTTTGGGATTAATGGAAAAAATGAATGTAGTTACTGAGCAAATGTTTTTTAAAATTTAAATTTAACACAAATAGTTTTATATACATATATGCCATATATTATATTTTTATATACATATATGTTATCCTTACATGTTAGCTAATATTACACATCCTGCTCTGCTGTCATTACTGCACTGCAGCTCTCACGGATTATTCAGGAAGTAAAAACCACTTTCAGTGCAACACTTACCTCCTTTGGGATAACGTGATGGCGAAACACTAAAATCCATCTTATCCTTCAGGTCTTCTTCATTCTCTTTCTCCCACTGCAAGCCTATCTTTTCCCAATAAGTCCAAGCCAGTTTCCTAGACATAAAATAAGGGTTTTATACCATCATGCCCCCAAAAGAAGAGCACTTTAAAATAAGACTTCCGGAAACTCTGACTTCTTGAATTCAGCTGGAAGGATGGGAAGCATTCGTGCCATTTAACCTAGGCACATTAAGTTGACAGTTTATGCTTCTTTTGTACTCGGTGGACAGAGGTCACCTCTTCCAAAGGATAATTCTGTCTCTGTCTACCTCTCTATCTTCATCTCATACTTACTTGAATGTAGCATAAAAGGACAATATAAAAAAAGTTATTGCAGAGAATGCTATCATTTTAGGTTTAAGGAAAAACTGGGTTTTTTTTTTCCTCCAAGCAACACATCTGTGGACACAGAAACACTCCCATGTGCAACTATTTTGGGAAAAAGAAAAAAAGAAAAAAAGAAGTGTTCTGCTTACGTATTTTCAGGAATTTCATCAGTAAAGCTGCCAAGTAACAAAGGGATCAACTTGTGAAAATACGAATATCTATCTCGTAGGTACAACAACCATTCTCCAATGACAGTTGTTACAGCGTGCCGAACCTACATGGATACAAAAAGACTATTTTAAATATGTCAGGAAAATACTAGAAAAATAAAAAAAATAATATTTGCTTTCAGTACATAAGACTTGGTAAAACGCATCAATAGTCTCACAAGAAATTACAAGAACCCAGAATTTCCTCACTTGCAGCAAGCATCTTGAGTAACATGCAAGGTATCATGCTCCCTCTTGTGTTCTCACTCTGGCTTAGTTGCTGCACAAAAGCACATGTCCAAGAGGAAGACAAGATACAGACCTAACTCAGAAAACTCTAAACTCTCATGCTTAGTATCTCTCTGAGAATGTAATACACGTACATTTCTCTGGAATTTGAAGCTCCACAGACAATTTTCTCTGTTCACTATAAAGGAAGCCTAAGTTAAATAATGTGAATACACCCACTCAACAATTAAAATATTTTAGTTATTATTAAGTTGCACATTTTAAAATTACTGCCTCAGTTGCATCTTAGGAAGGGACCAATACCATAAGTGTTTGTTAAGCATCTGAAAAGGCCATAGAATCAAGTCCCAGAGAGATGTGACAGAAGAATTTAAGACAGAATTGAAGGCATCCATTAAAATAAAAAGGTGCCTACAACCTTCAACAGTCTGCAGAATTAGACAGCAGCTGAATAGGTCACCAACCTTGGTTTTGGACAGCTTACAGTTGACAAAGTCTGTTTGTTACATATTTACCTATCTCAACTGAATGTATGAAAGCTGAAAATTGGGGGGGAGTCAGGAAACACCAAAAAACTCACCCTGAAACAGATTTAAAATAAATCCAGAAAAACAAAAGAAGAAAAGCACACCTTCGGAATCTCATCAAATAATCTCTGCGCCAGATGAGACAGAACGTCATCCACAGACTTTCCATTTCCAAACTGTATCACTGCTCCAGTAGCCTGAATTACATCAACACGAACTCTGTAGTGCTGGTGTGAAATTGTTTGCATTAAGGGTTTTATCAGAGATTCTGACTGCATATGGAAGTGCTCTGTTAGGGCAGAGAGACAGAAACTTCAAACATGCCTTTCTCTATGTGGGTGACAGATCTTGAGCAACATTTCTGTAACACTATGAACAGCAGCCTGATTAACATCGCTGCATTTATGTAGCATGCAGATTTAACTTTATACTATATTAGAGCTGAACGCTAGCCCACATGCGCTCCCCTAGCCCCCTCCTCCCACCATTACCCACATACTGTAACTGCTCAGCATCTGTCCCTGGCACGGTTCTTCTCCAACAGATACCCCAAGGCTTGCAAAGTACACCTGTGGAAGGTGCATGCAGCTCCTCATCTCTCGTCTTCTCTCCTGGTTGCATCCTTGTAACCTCCTACGGGTCCCTACCTCAGCCTCTGTCCCCCCGGGAAACCGCAGGCTCAGGCCAGCCCACCGCTCCCCCGCTTCGCCCATCCCTAGGCCCCACCTGGCATGGCCTGGGCGCAGGCCACGGCGCACCTGCAACTCTCACGCCTGACCTCGGCATAGTGGTCGAGGAGGGTGGCCTGGAGGATGCGGATAACATCGGTGAGGTAGGGGGACACGGAGGCCCCGCAGCGCTGCAGCAGGAGGCTCAGCAGCTGGACGAGGCCGAGGCGCAGCTCCTCGCTGGGCTCGAAGCCCTGCGGCGGGCAGAGGCGCTGGGTCAGGGCCGGCAGGA